AGGCCTGCATAAAAATGAACCGAACAGTTGATCTTACCATCGAGGTGGTGGCCACAGGCTGCTGCTCTCTCCTTCTCCCTCTGACTGATTTTTCTCTAGTTTTACTTTTTCCTCATTGTTCTTGTCACTGCTGTTAGCAGGAGATGGATCTGCAGAACAGGCTGTCCGTCTCCTTCAGGGTGATGCATCCACGTGTTGTCACAAGAAGCTTTGCTGTCTCCCAGCATAGGAGTGTGGAGGAGGTACTAGGAGCTGGGCCCATTGCAAGAGTAAAGCTGGACAGGGCCATAGATGGGCATCAACCCAGCAGCAGCACCAGTATCTGTTCCTCTGTGTGAGGAGGAACAGGAGGAGTACTGCCAGAGCTCTACAGAATGACCTCCAGCAAGCTAATCATGTAATTGAATCAGACTGCAAGAGGGTGTCATAAAGTCCTGGTGTCCGTGCAGCTCATGCATTTGCTCGTTGGCTTTTGGGGTTTTTTTGGTTTTCTTTTTTTTAAGCTTCAGGACCGTGAGGATTTCATGCCACCTCTTGGAGTCTGATTCTGTTAGTTTGATCAGAAGCACAGGAAGCGTGCTGCAGGTCATTCTGCAGAGCTTTGGTACAGAAAAGCAGATGTGCTGCTAAACTCATGTAATGCCCGCCTCCTGGTTTCTCCCGCTTTTTCCCGTTGGCACTCGTGGATTTGATGTGTCGTCCTTGAGGAGGTGGACTAGCTCTATAACCTGACTGGGCCGCAGGTGCAATATCTGCTACCAGCAGTGATGAGGACTCCATCAAAAAGTAGAAGTGGCGTAAAATCAATCAAGAGGCGTGATGGCCCGTTTATGCTCGCCAGTTTTTCCCCACACGACAAAAGTGGAGTCTTTTTGTGCCACCACAGGTTTAAGAAACAATTGTGTAACTCTTTCAGTTTTAATGACACGTCAACACAGAAGCTCAGAGATTATATATGAGGAGATGTTGAAACAGTTTGAGAAGATCAGACTTTCTGGAAAAAATTTTAGACTTCTGCTCCTGTACTGTACCAGCGCTGATGTGGAGGCTTTTCCTGATCATTCAGGAGAGTACTGCAGCGTATAGTCACACCCTCAGTGCTGGTATAAATGCTACCAAGCTGTGATGACCTTGCTGTTTGGTTGCAAATTGTGTGGTGAGCGTAAATGGGTGATAAGGAGCGAGCCGGTGTGGCCACCTCCTGCAAAATGACTCCTTTTTGTGGTGCTGCCTCTTCAGTGCACCTGCAGCTGCTTTCATTTGCACCGACGCAGCTGAACTGGTAGTGGAGTCACAATGGTTTATGCTTGCTAACTGGAGAGATCAGTAACCCTGAAGTTTATCTGACTTTGTCTTGTGATAACTAACGCTGGTGTAAGTGAAACTGTAAAACTGCAGTGGACACGAATGTTTTTGGTAAACGCGTGTTGTAGGTAATTTATGGATGCTGACTTGAATGATGGCCTCACTCTTTGCTTTGCACGTCACACCTGAGCCTGCTGTGAAGAAAGCGCACATGATGCAACCTCAAAAGTTGGGGAGCTGTTTGAAGTTTGGCCACTTGTCTCTAAAGCTGTGGGATACTGTAGTTCACACAGATTTATAAAACCTCATCCGCTGAGTTTAATGTGACTCTTTCTTTCTGTCCTCCTTTT